AAAAAGACTCTCTTAGTTGGGGTGGCAGGGGAGACCCATCTGGGGGAACTCATATTTGAACAAAGACCTGAATGAAGAAGGAATTGTGGATAAGCAATGTTCCAAGCAGAGGCAACATCAGATACATAGTTCCCTCAGAGGGAACTATGCCTGGATGATTCAAGGAAATAAGAGTCCAGTACAGCCTGAGCACAGTTCCAGATCTATTAACTCAAGTTCAATGGTATTGCTAGCATGGGAACAGGTATCCCTGTTCTAGTTAGGGGGTTTACGTTGGTAGAGGAGCTAAGAAAAACAGTATCACTCAGTTACCAGGAGCGGGGGTGCAGAGTCAGACTGCTTAGATATGAATCCCCGTTCAGCCACGTCCAAGCTGTGAGCAAGTTATTTCACTGTTCTGAGCTTTGGTTTCCTCAGATATAAATGGTGATAATGTACCTGCTGGACAAGTTGGCTGTGACAATTAAATGAGATAACGCTTGTAAATCAAGTCATACATGTTCACTATTATTATCACCTTCTACTCCAAAGTCATTTTTAAATTTTATCAATCTCTGGTGGTGCAATGTTAGGAGTGCTGGTGGTATAGTGCCTAAGGTATTTGACTGCTAACCAGAAGGCTGGCGGTTCAAACCTACCAGCCCCTCTGAGGAAGGAAGACAGGGCAATCTACTTCTATAAAGATTTACCACCTCTGAAACCCAAAGAGGGTCGCTACAAGTCAGAATTGACTTGATGGCAGTGCGTTTGGTTTGGTTTGGTTTACTAAACAAAAGGTTGGCAATTTGAACCTACCCAGTGGTAACATGGTGGAAAGACCTGGTGATCTGTCCCTGTAAAGATTACAGTCAAGAAAACACTATGAGTCAGTTCTACTCTGTCATACGCGGTCACTACGAGTCAGAATTGACTTGACAGCATCCAGTGACAACAAGAGTATTCCTTGTTTATCTGAACCTTAAAACTGCATGTATTTTTTTCTAGAATACTAACCAATAGGATGGCAGTCATATAATAGGGAAATGAATTTTTTTTTAAGACTTTGAGTTTGCCTTCTCCAGAGTCATTTATAAAAATCAAAAGTTATCCTCCTATATAAATGGAATTGTATTTGCAGTACAGTTCAACAGAAATTCAGTCTCTCCTCAGTCACTTATGAGACACATGTAACAAGAAGGAAACATTGGTAAGGGATTTCACACTCATCACAGAATTCTAATTCTATGGCATTGCTATGTACATTAATACCAAGCCAATTTCCTGCAATTAAAGTCCACATATAAGTTTGAGGTATTTTCCATGGCTGGAAAGAGCGTGTGTTGTGATGCAGAAAGCAGGTCTGGCTTTTTGTTCTCTCAGGTCACATGCTCTGTAGTGTCTCTCTTTCAGTCCAAGTCATCATGTACACAGAGCCAGGTCTTTCTATAATGACTTGCAATTTCAGGCCACAACCAATGGTGTGTGTTAAAACACTTCACTATTCCCTGGAGGTTCTCACTGTCCATGTATTCCCTAAGTAAGGAGATAATATTAAGAAAGGATCTAACTTTGTGGTGGAGACTTGCTTAAATAAAATGAGTCTTGTCTTGCTTCTACTTTTAGAAAACCAAAAAACCCAAACTCACGGCCATTGAGTTGATTCTGACTCATAGAGAACCCCTCTGGGTTTCTGAGGCAGTAAATCTTTACGGAAGTAGATTGCTGAGTCTTCCTTCTACAGAGTGGCTCGTGGATTTGAACCACCAACCTTCTGGTCAGCAGTCAAATGCCTTAGGTACTGCGCGACTGAAGCTCCTTATAAAGGGTGGAAAGAAGGTAGAATGAGAAGTTGCCAGAAGTGTACTGATCATCTACTATGGCCCCAGGCACTATGTTAGGCTTTGGGAATTCATTAGGGATCTAGACATAGGCCTTGCCCTCAAGCATGTTATGAGACTTTCTTTACCTGAAGCTATAGTTTGGAATGACAGCTTAAACACATATTTGGTTCTGATTAATTCACCTGACAACAGTTGTTGTTGTTATGTGCTGTCGAGTTGGCCCCAACTCATAATGACTCCTCCTTGGGTTTCCGAAGTGGTATCACTACGGAAGTAGATTGCCCAACCTTCCGAGGAGTGGCTGGTGGTTTTGAACTGCCAGCCTTCTGGTTAGCAGTCAAGTGCCTTAGGCACTACACTACCAGAGCTCCTACTTGGCAGCTACTGAGAAAAAAAAAAAAAAGTATCACATTCTCCCCTTAATCTTTTTTCTAAGAGATGTTGAGAGATGGATAGCAGAGAACGGGCTTTTGAGAAACTTTAAATCCTGACTCAGCCACTTACCAGCACTATATGATGTAGGACAAAGGGAGCTAGAGCAAGTTATCTGAGTCCCAGTTATTCTCACCTGTAAAATGTGTAAAATCACAGAAATATTAAATGAGAGAACATTTACATATCTGCTGCTTAGTCAGTAGCAGCTACTATTATCAGCATCAATAGATTTGATGTTAGAACTTCTCAGTTAACAGTTTTCTTTCATCCTCTATCAGTTACTGAGCCTCTATAAAAATGGTGATGTGGTAGGGGTGTCTGACCTCCTTTAACTTCATGAGGGGGGGAAAGAATCACCATCAGCATCAGCTCAAGGCTGATTCCTACAAGGCAGAAGTCAGACATACCTCTGCTCTCCAATCTTGTTATCAATTCTGACACCAGTCATCCTTCCATGGCACTCTGTACTCTGCTGGGTACATTCATTGCAATGGCCATAGAGAATTCACAGACCAAACCATGATAATAGTGTTTATTAAGGAAGTAACAGATTACAACTTGGGATTAGAACGACTCAGAATACAGTTCTTGTCAGGATAGCTTCTAAACTATGGCCACAGGAAGGCCTCTCCCTGGTCCTTTGACCCTTCAGCCTCTTTGGTTGGCCCAGCCTCTGCCCTGCTTGGGAAAATGTTACAAAGCTCTTTAGCTCCACTGATAAATGCCCAGAAGCACCTCACTCCACCAGGAAGCCTCCTGCCCAAAGGCACTCAGCTCTCTCACTCCAGGGCCTCATGCACTTTCTTGTTCCATCTCCTGGTTCTGTTGCCTCTGTTGCTACTTCTCAATGTCTCTGACCATCTCTTGTGTTCTAGCTCTCTTTGTCTCTGGGGGTCTAGGAGGTTCTCAGAGCAAGGATTCTGGGTCCAAAGGACATGTTCCACCACAGCTCTGCTTTTTTGGCAGTAGTGAGGGACTCCCTTTCTGCCTCTGGGATGGTTCATTTTAAACCTAATGAAATGGCAAAACTGACCAATCCCCTTGGTGGCCACAAGCACCTTATTTCCATAGTCTCACCCAACCATTTTATTGGGAGTTACAAGAACTCAGTGAGAAAGGCCATATAAAAGTGATCTATCCACTGCAGCCTCTGCCATGAACAAGGAGAATTTAAAATGTTTTACTCTGGTTTCACTACATGCTTTATGCCTTACACAATGAAATTCTAGGTCAGGCATTCCCCTTCTGACTCAAGGTTACTGCTCCATAGGATTTTCAAGGCTGTGACTTTTCTGAAGCAGATCACCAAGCCTATATTCTGGATGGGTCCAAACTACCAACCTTTCTGCAAGTAGTGGAGTGCTTAACCATTTGCCCCATGCAGGGACACCTAACTTATCTGGAGGTAGGTGATTATATCTAAGGTAATGAGCTATGGGAGTGGGAGGCACCAGTTATGGTTCAGGTGACAGCCCTCATCATCTGGCTGGACCAGGACTAATTCCAAGCCAACTCTTGAGGAAATGCATCTTTTCCCACAAAGGGCAAAACATTCAGCTGGGGAGAAGAGGGAGAGGAGAGGCCTAGCTCCATTAGCAGAACCAACCCCTAAGACGGAATGGGCGGCAATTTTTGCCCATATCACCCCTGCCTGCCGCCTGAACAGCCTTCCAAATTACAAAAATGGGGGAGGGGGGGGGAAAAGGAAAAAAAAAAAAAAAACTCGTTGCCAGTCGGTTGGGACTCAGCAATCCTATAGGACAGAACAGAATTGCCTCAAAGGGTTTCCAAGGCTGTAATCTTCACAGATGCAGATTTTCCAGTCTTTCTCCAGCACAGCAGAAGATGAGTTCAAACCACTGAATTTTCAGTTCGCAGCTGAACGCTTAACCATCGCGCCACTAGGGCTCCTTGATATAAAGATGGAAAGCCCCTAAAAATCACCTACTAAAGTGAACTACCTCAACCTTTTTTGTTTGCAAAATTTGGTGTGTATATGCATTTCTCTGGCGATAGGATCTGCAGCTTTCATCAGATTCTCAAAAGTTTTCTAACATAGTCCCATTTCCTCACAGAACACATAGGGAAACTGAGGCCCTGAGGAAAAGGCAGTTGTTTCAAGTCAAAGGAACATCAAAGTCAAAGGCATTTCAATCACAACTCTGGCCTCATATTTATGGTCCTGGCCGTCTCAAAACTTCCTCGCTTCTCTGCAGGTCCTGAAGGGTCCCCAGGAGGCGAGGGCTGGTGTCTGAGCCCAGGAGATATCGCAGGCGGTCCAGATTCCAGTTACCAAGGAGACTCCGGCTGAGCGCCCTGACAGGGTTCCTTAGCAGGAAAACTCCCCACTCTGCCGTCACTCTTGCGCAACTCCGTTGCCTTGCTGACACCAACTAGAGGACCAAAAACAAGGAGACACCGAGCAGCGGCAGCAGTTGGGAGACTGAGAAAAATAACGCCTACTCACTCACCTGACAGCGAGGAGTAAGCAGTCACGCCCCAAAATCTGTTCCAGAACTAACCCATCGCGGACGAGTAGTGAGCTAAAAGAATAACAGGAAATTACGTAAGGCGCACGTGCTTCCTAGAGGGGCGGGTGCAGGGCGGCCGAGAGGAGCGGGCACCGCCCTGCGCCTGCGTATTTTGCTGCCTGGTGCTCTGCGGAGTCACTGGAGAAGGAGGAGCATGAGCAAGGGGCGGGGCGCGTGCTCGAGTGACGCAGGCGCAGTGCGACTCCGGAGGCGCGGGGTGCCAGCCTCAGGTTTGCATCCGGGTCAGTCAGGCGCCGCGATTCGGGAGAGACGATCTGAACTGACCGCACCGGATCACAAGAGCGCCCCAGCTGCGAGGAGGTAAGCGCTCCGAGGGCCCAGAAAGGGCTGCATCATCACGCCTTGGCCTGGAGGCCTGGATTCGCCGCAGGCGGCTGCCTCTGGGCTGCCCCGTCTCTCGTCGCGTCGCCTCCCGGCGCCGACTGCCTGGGCCGGGCCTGGGCCTCCCAGCGCCCCTTCGGCCTCAGTATGCCGGAGCTCCTCTCCTTTACCTTTTCCCGCCTTTCTTTCTTTTCGCTGCCGCCACCGGGTCCCGCTCCTTCGCGATCTCCCGCCTGGCGGTAGCTTCCCCTTTTCGCCTTCCTTGGCCGCCCTTCCCGCCCTTTCCCGCTGGTTCTGAGCCCCCAGTTGGCTGCCTGTTCAACTCCCCGCACGTCTTCTCCATCCTTTGAGCTTCGGCCGGACTCCAGCCTCTGGCTCTGGCCGGGGGAGTATCCTAAGAGGGGTAATTTGAAGCTGGAGGTCTGGGGCAGAAAGAGATAGGGACCTGGAGAGCTTCCCGCTCGACTTTGTACCCATTCTCTGAGGCGCTCCAGATTCTGACCCTATTTAACGGCAGAAGATCCGGATTTTGGTTGAAAGGAAAGAGTGTAGGGATTGAGTGTGTCTGTAGAGAGGGGTGTGAATAGGGTCTGTCCTGGGTGCCGATTGTTTCGACCGTACCCTGTTTGCCTCTTCCAGACGTGCTGGGCTGTTTTCCTCCCCAGGCGCTGCGCTTTTTGGTGGTCTGGAAAAGTTTCTGAATCTTGAACATTGCAATGAGACGCTTGCGTGCGGGTCTTGTTCTCAGGGCCCTGGAAATTTGGACCTAGGCTTCGGGTGCGAAGGAGCCCTGGTGGTTTGGCTGCTAACCGAAAGATCCGCGCTTCGAACCCACCGGCCACTCCGCAGGAGAACGATGTGGCAGTTTGCTTTCCTAAAGATTTACGGCCGATGGGGCAGTGCAGCTCTGTTCTTCAGAGTTGCTGTGAGTCGGAATCGACTTGCAGTGGGTTTGGGTTTTCAGGTTCGAGGTTGGTTAAAGCTGCGAGATACAAATAAGATTGGGACACATGCAGTTGGTTGAAAGTCAGGGAAAACCAGGAATTTGGCCTATTAATGAAGAATGACAAAACCAATTATCCCAATTAGTTGTACAATGCATGGGAAGGCAGGAATACAGAGGAAGGAGCGTAATAAGTCTTTTGTAATTACAAGCACTCTCTGATGTAGCTCCTAAGGTCATGGCTAAGATTCATCTTTTCTCAACATTCAAATTACCCGGGAAAAAAAAAGGTAGGTGATCAAAATGTTGAGCATCTGAAAATAGTTGAGATGGAACTAGGTTTTGGTTTTTGTTTTTAAATGATAGATCTTTTAGCGTCAACAGATGGTAAGTGAATTTATATTAATGTTTAGTGGTCACCTACAGTGCTTATTGATTCACTATATAATTAAAAAGCATTTCTGGTGGTGTAGTGGTTAAACCATTTGGCTACTAACTGAAAACTTGGTGGTTCGAACCTACCAGCCACTTCGTGGTAAAAAGATGAGGCAGTCTGCTTCTGTAAAGACTATACAGCCTTGGAAACCCTATGGGGTTAAAGGCTTGCTATGAGTCAAAATTGACTCGATGGCAGTGCGTTTGTTTTTTGTGTGTAATTGAAGGTTACCTTCCCCGGGTGCAAAGCCTGTCAGCGCAGTGTTAGTGTTATAGACTATAACTTAGAGGGCAAGAATGGGATTCCAGTCTTCACGGGAATGGTGGTCGCAGTGTGTCAGGTTCACCCTTAGATCCCTAGCATCCAGTCTAGTGCCAGGCACATGGTAGGCATTCTGTAAACGTTTGTAGAATGAAATTCTGCCTGTACAGTTCAGCAGTGTATACTTAGATGTGGTGTGTATATAAGTATTATTCTTTATTGGTATAACCTTGGTATATTCTGTCAAACATATTGTGACTCCCTGACCTTTGGAATTTTAGAGGTCTCACAATAACATCAAACCTGCCCTGAGAAATGAGCAGATAGGAAATCAGAGTGGACCCAAGGGTCACAGAGGGGCACTGCTCACTCTGAGAGTGCCATGGGGGGAGGGGGGGAGGGGGTTGGAGTTGGGGTAAGAGGTTAGAAATAAAGAGGTGAGGTGAATGCTTTGCTTAAAAAAGTCCCTTTTCTCTTTTTGTTTTCCTTCTTTCTGATTCCCTGTGGTGTGTTTATAGATACTGGTTTGCTTGTTTTCACTTCGAGATTTATTACCCTAGATGAAAAATAATTTGGAGATTAGATCCCAAGCGTTTATGAATCTGTTGTGTTTCTTGTTGCTTTGGTTGGTCCCCCTACCCCTTTCTAGTTTAAATGTACAAATCAAGGTGGAAGAAATGGAGAACTTTGGTTAATCAAGCTATTTGTTTAAGTGGAAATCATTTAAAGGTGCCACTACAAGGTTGGGCAATCCTGCTTCCTTAGTGATACTGCCTCAGAAACCCAAGGAGGGGTCGCTATGAGTCGGGGCCGACTCGACGGCACATAACAACAACAACAGAACAGCATTTTATGTTTTGACTAAATTTGTTCTGTACTTTTTCTTCATGAATCACAAGTATAGTTCATTTATTTTCCATCTTGTTTAATAAAGTATTCAAAGGTATAAAAACAAAATCAAGATATCAACCTTATGGGTAGAATGGGGGATAACTGGTAATTACTGAAACATGTTTCTAAACCTGCTTAATAATGGTAATGTCTTGTTCACTGAGACATGTCTTCTTGGATATTAATATCTAGGTTTGGATTGCTTTAGAGAAATGCTATCATGTGTCATGATGTTGTACTTAACTGAAATTACTGAGGTTAGATGAGGCAAGTACTCAGCAGCATTTTTAAGAATCAGAGTGGTCTGAGTTTCCCTTTTATTTCTGATACAAAGATTGTTTTGTCTGTAGGATTCTAGACTCCTTCAGCTAGAGAGACAGCGTCCCTCCTCAAATTACAAAACATACTGAAATGCAGAACTATTTTAGGTGATCTAGTATCTAAAACTTTGTAATAGGATATTGACATCAAGTACTTTAGATAGTTTAAATTCTACTATAACAAATACGCATTTTTTTGTTTCATGAGTTTCCTCTTAATAAAATTCCTATTTTCTAATTAGGAGCTCTGGTAGCATAGTGCCTTAGGCACTTAACTGCTAACCAGAAGACTGGTGGTTCAAACCCACCAGCCACTCCTTGGAAGGCAGGTTGGGCAATCTATTTCCGTAGTGATACTGCCTCGGAAACCCAAGGAGGGGTCGCTATGAGTCGGGTCGGACTCGACCGCACGTAACAGAAAGAACATTTTCTAATTGTCAACATTGAAGCTTCCTGTTAGAAATTTGCTTTATTTTTTTCTGATAAGCAGTATTTGTCTCAGGAATATAGATTTTCCCAAAAGTATGCTTTTGAACCCACCAGTTTTCATTTTGCACATCTTATTTTTGTTTTATTTTCTAGTATTAACGGGAACATCCATAGTAGTGTGAAAGCTTTCACAATGAAATCTGAAGCCAAGGATGGAGAGGAAGAGAGTCTACAAACCGCTTTCAAGAAGTTAAGAGTGGATGCATCAGGGTAATGGAATCTGCAATAGATTGTTTACTTGATTTAAATAGTCCTTTTCCTCTAAAGAGCTCTTTCTCTTCTAAAATTTCTTCCTTATTTATAGAAGGTATAAATGCTTGTAGTGGGGCATTCTGCCAAATTCTCCACAGTATTGTTTTTCTTAAAACAATTTTTTTTCTCAGTTAAAATTCGAAAAGTAATGGTTCATTTCTACTCCAAGATTTGTGTTTTGCTTTCTCTGAATTTTGAGGAGGATTTCCCCTTCTCTCTTCTTAATCAAAGATTATCAAGCATTGTCCCATCATAGATTGCCTCATACACCTCAAGGGAATCACAGTATTTTTTCACAAAAGTGAATTGACTCAATAGAAATCTATAAAGACTTTGTAGATTTCATGGGGTCTGATTCCTGAGCTGATCACTATGGAAACCTCTATTCAGTAGGGGTCTGTCAGTGAGATCAATAATCTTGGACCCTGTGGCCAGACTAATTAGACGCCTTTAGACCAGCTGCTGTCTGAGTGTTAATAAATTCTCTTTGCAGAGTATTCTGTGCTGGACTCTTCTTGCCCTCCTCAGTCTTTGGTCCAGGCCAGATATGTCAAATTTTTAATGGATATAAGAACTTTCCTTGTCATATATGAAAACTAAACACTGGAAGCACAGAGTAGAGCACTCCACAACCAGCAATAATAATATCACTAACATTTATCACTCACTGAATCCCTAAGCACTGGGATAAGTGCTTCATATACATTACGCCATTTAATATCCACTACTACTCTAGGAGATAGATACTATTATAATTCTAGTTTGCCGATAAAGTGAGTCATTTGCTTAAGGTCTTATTGTTAATGGCAGAGCAAGGATTTGACCCAAGAAGTCTGTCTCCAGAGCCTTAATCACTCCTTTATATAGTACCTTGAAGATGACATGAAGGATTACATGCAGTAGTTGGCAGATGTTGTTGTTGTTAGGTACCGTTGAGTCGCTCCAACTTGTAACGACCTTATGTACAACAGAACGAAACACTGCCTGGTCCTGTGCCAGTCTCACAGTTCTTGCTATACCTGAGCCCGTTGTTGTAGCCACCGTATCAGTCCATCTCGTTGAGGGCCTTCCCCTTTCTCACTGATCCTCCACTCTACCAAGCATTGTATCCTTCTCCAGGGGTCTCTTCTGACAACATGACCAAAGTAGGTGAGACAATGTCTGGCCATTCTCATTTCCAAGGAGCATTCTGGCTGCACTTCTTCCAGGACAGATTTGTTTGTTCACCTGGCATGCAGTACAATGTAATATATGTGAGATGTTTTTAATAGATGTTTACCTATGCTAGTGTGATTTTTGGCCTACCAAATGAGATTTATCCTGATATGTGTAGTAGATATCGTACATGCTTCGATTTTGCTTCCATGATAGTTAGTACTTTTCTTCTCCCATTGGTTTATCTAATATGGTCGTCTTGCCCATTAATTGATTGGTACTTAGAGAAATCATTTTGGGAAACTAGGAAGCAAAGTATAGAAGCTGATTGTTTCCAGATTGTGGTCACACTCTTATCTGGTATGGAAACAATTTTATAAATAATCAGGAAAATATGTTCAACCATTTCAGCAGGTAACATATCAGGAGGTAGCTTATCAGGAAAATAATATTCAACCATTTCAGGAGGTAGTATATGATCAGAAGTCCAAGCTGCACAGAAAGCACTGGCAGAAAACAAAGTTCATGGAATTGGTGGAATACCTAGTGAGATGCTTCAGCAAATGGATGCAACACTGGAATTGTTCACTCTTTTATGGCAAGAAATTTGGAAGACAGCTATCTGGCCAACTGAATGGAAGAGATCCATATTTGTACCCATTCCAAAGAAAGGTAGTCTAACAAAATGCAGAAATTATTGATCAATATCGTTAATATCACACACAGGTTAAATTTTCCTGGAGAAGATCCAAATAGTTGCAGCAGTACATTGATAAGGAACTGCCAGAAATTCAAGCTGGATTCAAAAGAGCACATGGAATAAGGAATATCATTGCTAATGGCAGATGGATCCTGGCTGAAACCAAAGAATACCAGAAAGATGTTTACCTATGTTTTATTGGCTAGGTAAAGGCACTTGACAGTGGATCATAAAAAATTATGGGTAACATTGTAAAGAATGGGAATTCCAGAACACTTAATTGTGCTCATGAGGAACCTGTACATAGAACCAAGAGGTAGTTGTTAGAACAGAACAAGGTGGTATGGTATGGTTTAAAATCAGGAAAGGCATGATCAGGGCTATATTCTTTCACCAGACTTACTCAATCTGTATTCTGAGCACATAATCGGAGAAGCTGGGCTGTATGAAGAAGAACACAGCATCAGGATTGGAGGAAGACTCATCAACAACCTGCCATATGCACAACCTTGCTTGGTGAAAGTGAAGAGGACTTGAAGCACTTACTGATGAGGATCAAAGACTACAGCCTTCAGTATGGATTGCACCTCAATATAAAGAAAGCAAAAATCCTCACAGTTGGACCAATAGGCAACATGATAAAAATGGAGAAAAGATTGAAATTGTCGAGGATTTCAATTTACTTGGATCCATAGTCAATGCCCATTTTAAGCAGCAGTCAGGAAATTAAATGACATATTACATTGGACAAATCTGCTACAAAAGACCTCTTTAAAGTATTTAAAAGATGTCACTTTTAGGACTAAGGTGCACCTGACCCAACCCATGGTATTTTCAGTTGCCTCATATGCTTGTGCAAGCTATATAGTGAATAAGGAAGACTGAAAAAGAACTGATGCCTTTGAATTATGGTGTTGGCAAAGAATATTGAATGGACTGCCAGGTGAACGAACAAATCTGTCTTGGAAAAGGACAGAATGCTCCCTAGAAGCAAGGATGGTGAGGTTTCATCTCACATGCTTTGGACATGTTAAAAGCATGGAACAGTCCCTGGAGAAGGACATCATGCTTGGTAAAGATCAGTGAAAAAGAGGAAAACCCTTAATGAGATGGATTGACACAGTGGCTGCAGCAGTGGGTTCAAGCATAGCAGTGATCGTGGAGATGGTGCAGGACCAGCAGTGTTTCATGCTGTTGTACATAGGGTCACTGTGAGTTGGAACTGACTCAGCACCTGAGAACAACAATGCATAAACACACACACACCAACATATACAACATCCCTTAGTGTATATACTTATAGAAATAACTTTTGGTACATAGAAGGCTCTTTTTGGATGTTGTAAGAAGTTGGAAGATAACGTTAAGCTATTTTCTTGCTCCTGAATATTACTTGGAACTTAAGAAAAAAAAAAAATCATCTGTATAGTATATGGTCCAAAATTATATATTTGTAGCATGTGATCTGCCTGGGATAAAATTACAGGAAAAAAAGGAACAATGGAGAGCAGTCTGAGAGAAGCAAATAGATTGGAATGAGTGAGTCATTGCCATGACTAAGCAGAATAAGACTTGAATAGTCCATCATACGTTTCTAGTCGTTTAGCATTGTTGCTCATTTGCAAATGGGACATGTGAGGGACTGGCTCATAACTAAACAAACCGTGCCAGGAATTTAGCCTGATCCTGTTCAACAGGTCTTGATCCCTAATATTATTTGTCTTATCAAGACAAATCTATATGTTCATTATAAAACAATATAATCCTTTCTACTTAACCATAAAATAATACAGACTAGTAGTAGAAAAATTTACAACAAAAAAGTATTAAAAAATCAGTTTACCATAACCTTTGTTAGTATTTTGATTTCTTCCTTTCTTCCCCTTCTTTATGTAATACCATACACATGTTTTTTCACATTGAGAGCATAATATATGGTGTTTATCCATGCTATTTTCTCTTAACACTATATTCTGAACATTTTGTCACATCATAAACATTCTTTGTACACTTAATTTTTAATGAATTCCTCATACTCCATTTTACAGATGTGTGTTATATATTTGTATTTCTACTATTGGATATTTAGTTTATTCCCACAAACTTGATATTTTATGTTTTAGTGAACATTTTTCTACCTTAATAGATTAATGTCTCCTTTCTAACAGATTTTTTTCGGTCCCATTGCCTGTTTTGTAGAGCTCATTATGTATATGTGTATGAACAGGTCAAGAAGGCTTTACTGCAGAATGTTAATGTTGGTAATCTCTTTGTTGTGAGATTAGAGACAATTCTCTTTTACATTTTTTCATGTTCTTTACTGTTACCTGTGTAATTTTAAACCACAGAGGTTTAATTGAGTAATGTTTGAAGTTTATTTGTTGTCAAAATTAGGCTATTTTTCTAAAAGTTGTAATATTGGAAAATGTACTTATTTTCAGATTAGATGGAGTCTTTGTTGTTTACTCCTAAACTTAGTTCCTATAGCTCTAGTTTGTCAGCGTAAAATAAGTGATCAATTTCATTAGCATTCTGGCTGGTCATAAGGCCTGATCTGTCCCAGATAAACAGCCTAAAAGTCTATTTATAGTCTGCTGCTGGGTATAGTTAAGAATCGTTCTTTGGCTTTTGCTTTTGCAACCAGGTACTTTAGGGATTGTCTAAGTGTAGTTTTGGAGGAAAAATTACACTAAAAGGTGACCAGTTTTTGAGAACTCCAACTTGAGAGCAAATAAAGTTAGTGATAAAAGCTGTATTTGGGTAGGTGAGAGCAATGAGTTTTTGCTTTACAGTTTTCTGTAGCAGTAAACTTTGATCTTGTATTTCAGGTCCATAGCATCTCTGTCTGTTGGAGAAGGCACAAGTGTTAGAACATCAGTCAGAACAGCTGCAGACGATACCAAACCTAAATCCACATGTGCATCCAAAGACAGTTGGCATGGGTAAGAGGTGCTTACTGTAGATGATTTTCATCCTGATACCTTAAAATATTACTGGATTTTCATTCCTGAGTGCCCAGAAGAGTATGCTGTGGATATTATGAAAACCAAACCAAACTCACTGCCGTCGAGTTGGTTCCAGCTCACAACAACCCTCCTTGGGTTTCCCAGGTGGTATCTCTACGGAAGTAGATTGCCCAGTCTTCCTTCCGAGGAGTGGCTGGTGGATTTGAAGCGCCAGCCTTCTGGTTAGCAGTCAAATGCCATAGGCGCTATGCTACCAGAGCTCCCGCTGTGAATATTAGTAGTTTTAAAACAGTGATGGAAAATACTTTATTTGGAGAGTTATATTTAATGATACTGATTCTTGGAATTTATCTGCTTCATAGTCAGTTTTTATAAACGTTCTGTGTGTGCTTGAGAAGAAAAAATCCCACACTCTACTTCTGAAAACTAGCCATTGGAAACACTGTGGATCACAATGGTCCTATCCAGGACAGACGATGGGGATGACACAGAACCAGGCAGCATTTCCTACCCTTATGCATGGGGTCTCCATCAGATGGGGGCCAACTCGATGGTAGTTAATGTGTGTGTGTCAGCTTAACCTATCAGTAACAGATTTGTTGACTCTCCTCTGTGACTCTCCTCTGATATGCCAAATTTTCCCTTAAGTTCTATAGTTTCCCTTTATGTATTTTGAATCTGTTTTGTTAGATTCATACAAGTTTAGAATGCTTTCTTCCTGGTGAATTGAAACTTTATGTAGTGACATTATTTATTCCACATAATAGCTTTTGTTTTGAAGTCAGTTTTGTCTAGTTTTAACATAGCTAATACAGATTTCTTAGTATTTGCCTACTGTATCTTTTCCCATTCTTTTATTTTTATTCATTCTGTATTTTTAAATTTTAGGTGTGTCTCCTAAATAACATGGCTAGGTTTTGTCTTTTTCAGTCTGATAATTTGTTTTTTATACTGATAGGTTTAGTACATTGACATTTATTTTGATTATTAATATTTTTGGACTTGTTTCTACTGTTTTACTTTATGTATTTGTATTGCTTTTTTCTTTTCTTTCCATATATTCTTTTTTTGTTTTGTTTTTAAATGTTTGCTTGTATTACATACTTTGTTTTTTTCAACTTTTATTGTGGTGAAACATACACAGCAAGACATTCCCCAACATAACAACTTCCCTGTTTAGAGCTCAGGGGCCTTGATGACGTTTTTAAACAGACAGTGTTTGATTAGATCTATCTACATGTTTATAATTTCTTTGCTCACCATTCTTGTATCTCACACATGCCATATGGGATCATTTTCTTTTTTCCTGAAGAACTTCCTTCAGAAGCTCCATTAGTGAAGGTCTGTTAGTGAGATGATCCTGTATTATACAGCTGCACATAGAATACATAAGACTGATATCCCCAGAAGTTACGTAGCATGATACCCTATTAAATATACCTAGCCACTCCTCAGAAGGAAATGGGGCAATCTACTTCTGTAGTGATACTGCCTCGGAAACCCAAGGAGGGGTCACTATGAGTTGGGGCCGACTTGACGGCACATAGCAACAAGAACAACAGCCTTGATTTAGGAGCTCTGGTAGTGTAGTGCCTAAGGCATTTGACTGCTAACCAGAAGGCTGGCGGTTCAAACCCACCAGCCACTCCTCAGAAGGGAGATGGGGCAATCTACTTCACTAGTGATACTGTCTTGGAAACCCAAGGAGGGGTCACTGAGTCGGGTCCGACTCCACGGCACATAACAACAATAGCCTTGATTTACCTAAAAATGTCCTTATTTCATTCTTGTTTTAGTAAGATAGAGTAGATGTACCTGAAACCATATTTCTAGGTTGACATTTATTTTCTTTTGGCACTTTTTAGGGTGTTTCTCATTGTCCTCTGGCATTATTGTTAATATTGAAAAGCCTGCTTTTCATCTAGTTGTTTTGGGAATGATCTGCCATTAATCTCTGGCTGCTTTTAACATCTTCCTGTTTTTGTGTTCTGTGGTTTTATATCTAGATAGGGATTTTTTTTATTTGTCATATTTCAAAAGAAAAGAATATAGATTCTTCTCTTTCATCATTTTGGAAAATTTCTCAGCCATTATCTCTTTAAAAATCTCTTGTCTTAGATTTTTTCCACATATCTTTCTCTGTGCTTCCTCTTAGGACAGGGGCCAACAAACTTTTTGTAAAGAACCAGATAGTAAATATTTTAGACTTTGGAGATCAAGAGGCAAATTGAGTCTGTCGTGTAGGTAAATGACAAGAGAGAGCTCCTGTCCTGTCCTTTTCTGCCTCATTGCTTGTGAGCCATCCTGGATGGTAGGTGCGCTTGGTGCCCACTTACTGAGACATTCTTCAAACAAAATTACCTCAAGGGGAGCCTGGTAGGACGGGGTGGGGGTGTAATGCTGCGATCAGTTTTGTTCTCTGTCCTTGTGACACGTAGATCCCGGCATGCCCTTCTCCTGCAGAGCCTGGCCATTTCAATTGGGGTAGCTGGCCTAACTCTCAGACTGAGGTTCTACCTCTCACTGCCCAGCAGTTGCTGACAGCAGGGCCTCAACGTATAGGTGGTGACAGAGTGGGCCCTGGGCAGTGGTAAGACATGTCTACTGGCCAGGAAGGCATGTGCAGGTAGCAGAGAGAACAGGAGTGGAGGAGGATGCCCCAGCTTGGTCTCTGTGCCTCAGTGTGCCAGCCCACTGGAGCAGTTCCCTCAGGCTGTATAAAAACAGATGGGGGGCTGCTTTTGACTCACAGGCTCTCATTTTCTAACTATTGTTACATATATTCAGATTTATCTTTGAGTTCACTAATTATCTTTTGAACTGTGTACACTTGACTAGTTTAATTTGAACTTTTTTTTTTTTAAAGTTCTTTTTGGTTCTTTTTTAAATTTGTTTGGCAGTCTTGATAGTCTTCTTTTCTTTGCTCAGTTCTTTTATTTCAATGTTATATTGTATATCTGATAATTCCCAATATCTGAAAACCTCAGAAAGTCTAAATCTGTTTGTCAGAAGGTCATCTGAGATAGAAATGAATCTTACTAAAAGCTACTGCCTGTTTTCTAACAGTGGACTAGCGGCCATCTGCAGCATTAGCCTCCCAGTGGCACTGAAGCTCCCGTACCCAGGGCCTGAGGCACAGCATTTAGGTTTTAAAGCTTCAGTTAAGTTATCTGTGCAAGATTCTTCCCCAGACCTGATGGTCAAAGGTTCCCCCAATCTAGGGTTCTGCACTGAATGTTTGGCCCAAGTAATTGAATAAGAACTACCTTTATTTCACCTCTTTCTGTAGCATGCAAATAAGGGGATGTTGAAATTTCTGAGACTTGGGAGGCTTGAAAATGGAGACAGCACATCTCTTTAGAGAAAATATATGACTTTTACCTCCTAAACCTGAGAAGAGGTAAATTCCTGACTTAGTTATAAATGAACCGATTCAGGAGGGCTCCATATCCCACCATCTGTTTTTCTTCTCTTCTTAGGTCTACAAGGAAGTCTTCACGAGGAGCAGTGAGAACGCAGCGTCGTCGACGTTCTAAATCTCCTGTCCTTCATCCTCCGAAGTTCATACATTGCAGTACAATGGCTGCTGCTTCCAGCAACCAGCTAAAGCACAAAAGCCAGACTGACTCCCCTGATGGCAGCAGTGGGCTGGGAATCTTGACCCCTAAAGAGTTCAGTGCAGGAGAATGTGCTCCGTCTCTTCCTGATGCTAATCCCACAGGGGCACTCGCTGAGCCTTTGAGAACTTCGGTTCCAGGGCTCCCATCAGAGATTAAAAAGGAAGACGACTCTGTTGCTACCCAAGTCTCCCAAGCAAGTCTCAAGGCCAATGATCTCTCTGACTTTCAGTCTGTTTCCAAGTTAAATCAGGGCAAGCCATGTGTGTGCGTAGGCAAGGAGTGCCAGTGTAAGAGATGGCATGACATGGAAGTATACTCCTTCTCAGGCCTGCAGAATGTCCCACCCTTGGCCCCAGAACGAAGATCCACGCTCGAGGACTACTCTCAGTCACTCCACACCAGAACTCTGTCGGGCTCTCCTCGCTCCTGTTCTGAGCAAGCACGAGTCTATGTGGATGATGTGACCATTGAGGACCTGTCAGGGTACATGGAGTATTACTTGTATATTCCCAAGAAAATGTCCCACATGGCAGAAATGATGTACACCTGATAGCAAGAAGCTGATTACTATGCTTTAAACCAATGAAAGGTGGTCAGATTTCGTTAATGGCAGACCTTGCGGCCACTTTGTGTGAGAAGACATCTCCTTCTGCTCACTGTGCTTGCAATAAAAAAAACATTTCTTGGCATCTCGGTTAATCTTCATTCTTTAAACTTACTTTCTGTGTTCTTACATACCCATCAAGGCAAGCAGATCTTTAAAAAAAAAGTCTCTTAGAAATGTTCTGGGAGATGAAGAAAGCTTAATTACTTGAGACTGGCAGCAGTGGGTATATGGTAAAAAAAAAAAAAAGCCTTTGTAAAACAGTATATTTTCCACATCTGTTCAAGATTTGGTGGGCAAGGAAAATCAAATGTGGTTTTGTAACTGAACTGAACATTTGTCATGCTGTAGTTGCTGGCCCAGAATATTAGAAGTTAATGACTGATTTAAACCGTCTCTGATTTAATGCAAGATTTGTTGTCTTTAAAGGTTTCTTATGTTATTGTTAAGCCAGGGATCTAAGGTTTAGATTCAATATGAATAAACTAGCTGCTTGCCCAGTATTGCTTGAGAGAATCATTGACCATCATTAAATAAACCCCCTTTGCTGCTGCTCGCCCTCATTATGTTACAGGAAGTTACTTGGAAGCAGCAGCTCAGAGGGGCTGCTTCACTTGGCGGGTGAGGTGTGGGTGGGGTAGTATTTGAAGCTAGCGTGTGTCTTTTCCATCTCTGGTGTTATGTATAGCATACTTCTTTCAGTCAGTTACAGTAGAGGGTCTCATACCCCAGTGTCAAATACTCTGGTTCGTTATTGTTTCTTTGAACTGCCCTCCCAACCCCCAAAGGTGAATTTTATATATACTGTATCCTGTATTTTTGGTAGACCATCCCAAAATCCCTTCTACCGTTTGATAAAAAGTCTTCAGTTTCAGCTGGAGGATGAATCCACTTGTGGTTCCCAAACGAATTGGGCGGATGTCATGTAGCTTGTATTTTCGGGCCATCCCAACCATACTCACCAAATTGAATGAAAATTTATCCAGCGTTGTAACATAATATTTGTTTCACTTTTTTTTTTTTTTTTTTTAGATTTCAGAATAAGTTCTTGTTATTTACTAAAACATCTCTCTGGCTGTATGGTTGATTTATGACAGTAGGATCTGTGCTTCACAAATAGGTGGTTTGTATTGGGGAGAGGTGGGAAGGGTGTTTAATAGAAAAGCTGTGAACTCAAGTAGTGGGAGACTCCTTCCAGTTCTAATATAGTATGGATTAGTAACATTCGGAGGCTGTGATTAAAGCCAGGGAGCTGTAATGGAGATGGCATACCTGAGGGGTACTGAAGGCTACTATGTCACATCCAAGGCAACGCTTCTTGCAAGATTGCTTTCCAGTCACAGATCGGAGGGCCTCAAAGAGCATTAATGGGGAGCCTATCAATTATTTACCATGTTATAAATTGAAACTAAGAAATACTTTAAATGTTTATTCATTTAAAAATAATCTTATTTTATGTTGCCACAATTAACATTTTTTAATGAAAAATAACTTCCAAAGCCAAAGAAGAATTTAGAAGAGTGGCATTGTTTTTAATTTTTTGCCAATCTGTAATGTTTGGCTTTAAGAGAAGACAGCTGGGTTCTCCGAGCTGTACCGCTGTTCAGTCTCATGATGTCACATAACTATGTGACCTCTGGAAAACAACTGGGTATTTGTGAGATGGTGAGCGTGAAAAGGCAAATGGTGAAGATAGTTTTAACTTCAAAGTCCCCCTGGAAGCATCTTGGAGACTCCTTGGAATTCCTGGACCACACTTGAGAATCGCTTAGCTAGGGCATTACAGCTTGTGGCTGTAAAGGGAGTGCCCCCCCACCCACATGGAACATGTTCCTCACCTTTCTTACTAGAGAGGAGTGGAACAGATAGAGCTTAATTAAGATGGGTTACTAAATCCTCAAGCCCCTTTTAGTTTGCCTTTCAAACCAGTGGTCTGGTTATTTATCCTTAATGCTGTTATGTTAACAGAATAATCGCTGGAATATGAAGGCTGATGAATGTTTCTTCCACAGAAGGAAGGGTGTGTGATTGAAAAGGATGACGTGATAACCTGGAAACCTGCTGAGGAAATCCAAACTTAAATAGACGTTTAGGATTCCAGATGTGTTTGAATGAGTTGCAAGTGTCAAAAGCTTCCTCAGAATGTGAATCTTGAAGCTAAAATTTACTCTGCTCAGACCCAGCTGGGCCTCTGTTAGCATTAATGTCCTCGCTGGAACAGTTGACATTTTGTGGGTGTGATTTAACTAATCTTTCTCTAATGCATCTTGGAAATGGACTGTTTGTAGATTGAGGAATTGTTTCAGTTTTATGTTTTTGAAAAGTACTATCCTGATTTCCACATTCCTTCATTTAATAACTATTCATGAACATTGATTTAGTCAACAAATATTTTTTGTATGCCTCCTACACACCAGGCATACCGTTAGGGAATAGAACAGTAAACAGAACAGTGTCCTTATCCTCATGTTGAGAAAGGAGCTACGGAGACAAAAAGAATTGGGAAATAGGAAGTAGAGAGGGGTAACCAGCTGCTGCTGAGTCAGTGATGACCTCACGTGTCAGAGTAGAGCTGTGCTCTAGGGTTTTCAATGGCTGATTTTTTTTTTTTTTTTTTTTAAAGTAACCAGACCTTTGTTCCAAGGTGCCTGTACGTTGACTTGAACCTGCAACCTTTGGAGCAAAGCTCATCAACTGTACCATCTAGGGGTTCCTGTGTCCACACACCCCCCCCCCAGGTGTGGTTAGAACAGCTTCTCTGATAAGGTGACATTTGAGCAGCAGTCTGAAGCAATTGGAGAAAACTGGTGAATATTTAGGGGAAGCATTCTTAGCAGAAGGAACAGCAGGGGTATCACTGCCTGAGCAGGTGAAGTCAGAGAGGTATGGGAAGGTGCAGATTATGGAGGACCTTCTAGGCCAGTTAAAAGACTGGGGCTCTTACTCGAAAAGAGATAGGGAGCCATTTGAGGGAGTTGTAGTAGAGGAGAGAGCATCAGACTTGCCTTTTATTGAAGGGCACTGGCTGCTATGTGTTCAGTAAGGGAGGAGGCTATTACAGTAAATCGCAGTGGTTTTTGATGGCTTGACACTTAGGCATGGTGGAGAGAAGATGTATTCTGGAATCATTTTGAAGGTAGAGCTGAAGGGATTTGGTGGTGGCTTGGACACTCTGTTACCGTGAGGGTCACTGAGTCACTTCCAACTCAAAGCCCGTGTGCAATGGAAGGGAACTGCCCAGCCCTGCTCCATCCTCAGTCATTAAGTCAGCCTGTTGTTGCAGCCACGGTGTCAGTCCAGCTCATTGAGGGCCTTCCTCTCTCTCACTTAATCTGCTATTTCTCCAAGCATGATCCTTCTCCAGGAACTGGTCCATCCTGATAACACATCCAAGATACATGAGATGGAGTCTCACCATCCTTGCTTCCTAAGGAGCATTCTGGCTATACCTCTTCCAAGTCAGATTGGTTTGTCCTGGCAGTCCATGGTATATTCAATATCCTTTGCCAACATAATTCAAAGGCATCAATTCTTCCTCAGTCTTCCTTATTCATTGTCCAGCTTCTACTTGCCAGGCAATTGAAAATACCATGGGTTTGGTCAGGCGCGTCTTAGTCCTCAAAGTGACATCTTTGCTTTTTATCACTTTAAGGAGGTCTTTTGCAGCAGATTTGTCCAATGGAATATGTTTGATTTCTTGACTGCTGCTTCCATGTTCTGGTAGTACAGTGCTGAAGACATTTGGCTGCTAACCAGGAGGTTGTCAGTTCAAACCCACCAGCTGCTCCACCGGAGAAAGATAATGCAGTCTGCTTCTGTAAAGATTTATAGCCTTGGAAAGCCTATGGGGGCAGTTCTACTCTGTCCTATAGGGTGGCTGTATGTTGCAATCGATTTGATGGCAGTGGGTAGATTTCTATGGGTATTGATTATATACCCAAGTAAAATGGAACCTTGGAAAACTTCAATCTCTCCATTTATCATGATGTTGCTTATTGGTCCAGTTGTGAGGATTTTTGTTTTCTTTGTGTTGAGGTATAATCCATACTGAAGGCTGTAGTCATTGGTCTTCTTCAGTAAGTGCTTCAAGTCCTCTGCTGTCAGCAAGCAAAGTTGTGTCATCTTCACGTCACAAGTTGTTAATGAGTCTTTCTCTAACCCTGATGCCACATTTTCCATATATTCCAGCTTCTCGGATTACTTGCTCAGTATACAGATTAAATAAGTAAGGTGGAAGGATAACAACCCTGACACAGGCCTTTCTTGATTTTAAGCCATGCAGTACCCACTTGTTCTATTCAAATGACTGCCTCTTGTTCTATGTCAAGATTTCGCATGAGCACAATTCAGTGTTTGGGAATTCCCATTCTTCACAATTTCTCCATAATTTCTCATCATCCACACAATTGAGTGCTTTTTCAAGATCAATAAAACACAGGTAAACATCTTTCTGGTATTCTCTGCTTTCAGCCAAGATCCATCTGACATCAGCAATGCTATCCCTCATTCCATGTCCTCTTCTGAATCCAACTTGAATTTCTGGCAGTTTCCTGTCAATGTACTGTTGTTGCAAGTGCTTTTGAATGATCTTCAGCAAAATTTTACTTGCATGTGATACTAATGATATTGTTCAATAATTTCTGCATTCTGTTTGAATAATGAGCTTGTCTATGGATCTTTTCCAATTGGTTGGCCAGGTAGCTCTCTTCCAAATTTCTTGACATAGACAAGTCAATGCTTTCAGCATTGCATCCATTTGTTGAAACATCTCATTGGATATACCATCAATTTTTGGAGCCTTGTTTTTGGCCAGTTCCTTCAGTACCACTTGGACTTCTTTCAGTACCATCAGTTCTTGATCACAAGCTACCTCCTGAAATGGTTGAACATCCACCAATTCTTTCTGGCACAGTGACTCTGTGTTCCTTCCGTCTTCTGTGGATGCTTCCTGTGTCATTCAGTATTTTGCCCATAGAATCCTTCAATATTGCAGCTCACAGCTTGAATTTTTCCTTCAGTTCTTGCAGCTTGAGAAATGCTGAGCCTGTTCTTTCCTTTTGGTTTTCTAGCTCCATGTCTTTGCACATTTCATCCCAATATTTTACTTCACCCTCTTGAGCTGCCCTTTGACATCTTCCGGTCAGCTCTTTTACTTCATTTTTTCCATTCACTTTAGCTACTGTACATTGAAGAGCAAGTTTCAGAGCCTCTTCTGACAATCATTTTGTTTTTCTCCTTCTTTCCCATCTTTTTAATGATCTTTTGCTTTCTTCATGTATGATGTCCTTGATGACATCCCACAACTTGTCTGGTTTTCAGCAATACAGTGTTCAATGTGGTTTTTTTTGTTTGTTTGTTTTAGAGCTGTGATATCTTTACTTCCCTTTCTTTATTGAAAGTTTTTTTGTGATTTGGATGAAAGTTCACAGAATAAATTGGTTTTCCATTCAACAATTCATACTCGTTTTGTGACAGTGATTTCGATCCCCATCATATAA